TTCATGGAAGATAGCGTTCATTGCTCTTTGATACGTTGCCCCGGCATTCTTCCAACCGAGAGGGGCCTTACAACCCGTTCAAAAGTCTCAATCGAACCACAGGCATCTAAATCCCCGTCTTCGAAATATCTTCTTCGGCAATGTATATTTGGTTGTAACCAGAAGAATGCCCATCCATAAATGTGAGACATTCGTCTAGGAGGCTGTTTATAGGGCCGATAACCATCTTTAATTGGAAACTTATTTGACCAGTTCTCTTGCTAAACCAGGAATCTCTTCATATGTCCAAGCAAAACCTTATTTGTATTCCGTTAGCAATGCTATCAATGATTCTCTGAAGTTTGACTCCAACAGCCCACTTACATAAGTTGGACGTGGTTCATCTTACGTCCCCAAGTTCATGTAGTTTTTGACTCGTACTCCATGTTTTCGGTCGATCCTCCCAATCAAGATCAGCAGCTGAGGAAGAAGTGATGAACACTCGTGCGGAATCACCAACGGCAGCAACGTGAAGAGAAAAAAGTAGCTCCTAAGCTTCCTGCTTTTCTATATTGATCTCGAGTTTGTCGATCTACTGTCTGAACAACAAGAGAGTGGAGATTGTTTCATCTCAGATCCATTGCTCATTGGTCTCCCTAAAATCTGGAATGAAATGAAGAAAGAGACTCGGTAGGGAAACAGCTCTTGACGATCGTAGGATTTGCTTCTATAGGAGAATATGAGTTCCAACAACTAGATATAGGAAAGCTCCTATGCATGTCACATCTAGCAAAAGGAAGTGCCCCCGTAAGAATAATTCGTAGAGTTGATAGGCATTCTTCTTCGCATCTCTTTCCATCTCGTCCACTAATCAAATCGTCATCCTGATCTCGCTATCTTCTTTGGTCCTGTGATCGCAGCGAAGGTGAGGGAGCGGTCGGAAGCGCTGGCTTATTCTTACTATACGATAGCACGCATCAAATGAGCAATAGGGCGAGTATCCATCCTCTTATTGGAGTCTCCCCGCTGTTTGCAGTTTTCTCTTTCTCTGTATTCCATGTAAGTAAGAAAACAATTCGGCAAAGGGGGCACCTGGCACTGCAAACAAATAGGGATCATGTGCAAGCAGATATAGGCTATCCCTGCCTAAACTGACTGCAGAAAGAAAGAAGTCCATCAAGGCTAAATCAGAATCATCATCTCCGTTTCCCCGGCTCAACTGGACTCCTAATTCTGGCATCAGGGAAGGTTTATTCATAGAAAAAAGAAAAGATGAGATGCCGAATCTCAGTTCAAAAGAGCTTCTGAAGTTTGTGTTCCAGTGAGTCAGCTCCAATCTGGGGTGCCCCTCTTTATCTACTGGCTTGAGGCGAAGACACGGAACTCGCTATAATAAGAGTTGTTTTGCCTCCCTGCGCCCTTTACTAAATCGAAGATCAAAATGAGTTGCGCTAATCTCCATTGAAATGGGGGAAGCTATAGACCTCACTATAGAAGTTCTTTTTGAAGTCCAATTATGCGTTGTTTTGCTTCCCAGCGCCTTTCACAAAATGGATTGGAAATCTTCCTCCAAATCTATCTTTTGATTCTGAAGGCTCCAGGCATGGTATCGAGGACTCGCCCGAAAGAGAAAGTGTGCCAGCCAGAGCTACCAGACATGTACAAAGACGCAAGCCTACCCTTATCTCGCATCATCTGGTGAAAGCTTCGGAGCTTACAGCCTGCTAATAGGTAGTAAGGGAATGTCGTAGTAGAATCTTCTTCCTTCACTTCCTGAGTCTCTAATTCAATTCCAGGTCCGCAGACCAATGATTCACAGCACATTCACCCATAGCGCTATGTCATAGGAAGTGCGTGGTCATACTTTCATTCCAAATACAGCTAGCGGTAACAGCTCCTCTTAAAGGCCAATAGGTAGGTTCGCATCATCTGCTTCTGAGACCATTCACTTTCAATGGGAATCTTACTCGTGCACTACTGGCTCTTAGTTGTTTGTGAAATGCAACCTCTTTGGTTAGCTTTTGACTTTAGGGCAGAGAGTTGGCTTATGGGTTTGAGTCTTCATCTTTCTTAAGTCATTATCCAGCTAGCTGTGAATTTGATTCTTGATCAGAGTTGCGTGAGTTAGGGCATAGAGCCAGCACGCTCACACGCTCTTTTCCGATAGAGAGGGCTAGTGGTCAGCTAGTTCAAAATGTTTGAATCTCAGCTTCCAAGGTGCCAAGAAGCAAGAAAGAGTTCCATCCAGAGCAAACGCAGGACCCTTAGAAAGGACTAGAACGTTATAGCGCCATAGCCAACGAATCGAATTTAGCTGGTTGTTCCCTTAGCGAGAGAAGATACAAGTAAAACTACTACTTAGGGTTCAGATGGGTTCCTTTGTCAAAGTGAATTAAGAAACGGACGCATGATGTAATCTGCAAGAAATCGTTCTGCTTCTTTCGAAGCTTATACGCGCCTAGAATCTTCTTTTGAATGGGCTTCAGCGTGTTGAAGTTCTCCTTCCATTCTTCTTTTACATGATGCGGGGTTGTGGAACTAAAGAAAGAAATGTGGGGCAGATTTCACCGCTGCGGAGACAGATTAACCGATAGGACACAGCAAGCCAGCCTTCACGTAATTGATTGGATACTAAGCCAAAATCAAGCACCTGGAACGAAGTCCACAATCTCTTTCAAAAACGAGTGAACATTATGAGTTTCATTTCACTCGTAGCGCTTACGGAAAAAGAAATCTAAAAATGCGTTGTAAATGACTCGCAGCTCTTTAACAAAAACGAGGTATCAAGAGCAGAATTCGAAACAACAGTCGAACTTCTTAATTCCCTATCTTGCTTGAACCTATGTCAGAGGTCTTAACGATCCTCTTCTAACGGAATGTGAGTGACTGCTGTATGTACAGCCGGGAAGTCTAAGAAGGCTAAGCTGCAGTTGACTCACCTTGATCTCCTGATCATAGGCGAAACGAAGAAGAGCTAGGCATGTGACCGAAACGACTGGTTCACCTTATGGTCTGGTGACGCTCTGACTCAAACATCCACGAGTCTGCCCTCTCCCTCCTTTTTGAAGTCTTTATTCTACGTCCCTGGATGCGTGTTGCTTAGCATCTGACTTCTCGTTGACAATCCGAAACGCTCGGTCACTTTTGTTATATTAAGGCTAGCGTCCGATACCGTTGACCTGACCTCTCGTCTCTCAACCAAATAGGAAAGTGATAGTCAAGGGCGATTTCGCTTTCACATAGGAGTCTAAATCAGAGTCCCCAGTCTCTGCCTAGCAAGGCGTTATAGGCCGTAAGTTAACACGGGGGGATGCACTAATTGTTACTAATTGTTATTGTACGGCAATTCTAGCCGAAGAATGTCCTACCATTTCTACTTTTAGAAAGCATTGGGCGAAAGATGGGATCCACAAAGGCTCCTGTGCTAAGCATAGCAACAATCTTGCTTGTTATGGACACAGCCAGGATCAAACTCTCATTTTCAGTATGCTTTGAGTCTGCTTGGGGCATTCCCTTGTCTAACCAGGTGTACTACTGCTTGCTCCTACTTTGATCTGAGTGAGGGTTCCACCTATTCCGAACTCTTGGTGAAGATTCCCATCTATCTTTCTTTCGCGCATGCTATACCGCCTTGTTTCATAGAGCGGGAGCCTTATAGCCACAGCATTCGAACTTCGTTTCGCCTATGATCAATAGAAGACTCGTGTTGGGAAGGAAAAGCTTGGTCTTCTTACTGACCATCTTTCGAGTTGAAAACCTCTTCTTTGATGATCTAAAGGGAATGGGACCAAAAGAAGTATTGAAAGTGGTTTTTCCCTATTGAACCTAGGCATTGAATGGATGTTTTATTGAGGGGGGTGAACTTCGCGAGAGAAGACCCCCGGCTCCATACTTGCGAGAGGCTATTCCTAAGACCTCGCTCTACTAATTGGTTGGTTTTGCACCTTGAAGTTAGTTAACAGATACTCTTGAAGGTTCGCATTGGCACATTAGAATGAACACTTGTAGCTGGGCGAATGGAGGAACGAAAGAAAGACCTCAAAGAGCTCCCAAGCTTTCAGCAAGTTCGACAAACCAGTCCGGCGAGCCCGAGTTCGGCAAGCTCAAAATGAAGTCTGGCGACACTACGAGCAAGATGATCCACCTCGACGGCAACCCGTTCCAGTGAGAGCTCTAAGGTCTTATATGAGTTTTCAACGGTGACCGACCAAAAGCTAGCTTCACGACTGCATCCGAGCTCCGTCCGGTGAAAAGAACAAGGGCTGTGAGTGAGATTTTGTGCGAGAGTGTGTTTCCAATTCATTCATAGTGGATTTGCTGAGCTGGGCTTCACAGCCTCGAGGACGTTTCCCCACTCTGGGGTTTTACCTCGCTATATCTTGTGTCCTGCAAGTTGACTACTTATATTGTTGTTACGAACGATTCAGAGAAGGAACTCCATCCACATCCTAAGGTGGGGGTCAGCCCGATTTTCGGATATCTTTGCGGGGCTCTCCATGCCGGAGGCCGAAAGGCATAACGATTTGGCGCAAGCTCCTTCTTCAAGTGCCTCCACTCTTCGCTTCGTCGTTCAAAAAGAGATCATGTCGCGAGCTAGAACTAGAACCCACCAACCCAATCTCTGCGAAATAAGGGGATTTTTGAAAGAAAAGAAAGCGTCTGTCGCCTTCGCCGGAGAACGGGGCTGAACCCGTAGGGCCGGGAACAGGAACAGGTGTCTCACCAAACACGGAGAACAGAGGTTCGGGAATAGAAGACAACTGGGTCGGGCGAGGGAAGACCACGACCGGGGTTTCGAATGAAAGATAGCGATCGGAGGACGACGATTGGATTAGGGGAGCCCTTGCGCTTGACTTTGACCGAAAGGAGATCTGGGGCTAAATCCTTATAAGACCCCGGGAACGGGATGCTTAAAAAGGGGGCAGGGGATCGTTATGATACTGACTCTATCTCTGCGGAGTATTCGCTGGTTGTACGTAAAGAAGTTGCGAATCAGCCTACGTTAATGACATCATTTTCTCCTAAATGATCATCACTTTGTCCAGAGAAAGATGTTGACCGCAGGTCTTTCCCATCGCATTCTCCCCAATCTTCTTAAAGCTTCGGAGCAATAGAATGTGAGTCACAAGCCCTCCTTCCTGCCTTCTTTTCGGGAACGCCGTCAGTCCCTTCGTACCATAACCGCGTTCCTCCGTCCACGCCGTGAGAAAAGAGCTATTGCTGTAGGCAAAGGGTAGATCATAAGTCAGCAGAAGCAAGGTTTGGAAGCATCCCCAAGTGAAAGAGTGATTCATGTCAAAAAAAGAGAAGTAAAAAAAATGCCTAGCTTGTTGCAATCCAATGAGAAATTTCCGAGTGTGGTGTGGCATCTCGGGGTTCCCATATCCATTCAAAATGATAGGCAGAACGGACTTAGGATTTATCCGAGAGGGAAGCAGAGCTAACGGATTGATCTATTCCTGGGGTTTCTTCCTTGAAAACAAATTGATAGAGGATTATGAGCCGGGAACGGACCTTAGCTGCATAACCCCTTTCGTAAAGAAGGGCGAAGTCAAGGAGTTTAGATTATAGTAATAGAGAAAAGCTTCACTTACCTTACCGTAGCTCACAACAACATTGACTGACTTGAACCGATGAGAAGAGGAGAAAGCTAAGCAAGACGAGTGGAAGTTGAAGCAGAGCAACAGAGTGGTGCGGGGAGAAGAGACAAACAAGCAACACTATTCTAGAGTGGAAATCACAAATAGCCTTCCCTAGAATCTACATTTAGTTTATCGGAGTAGCGTTTTTCTGCCAAACCATGATCCCTTTCGCTTCGATTTGAACCAATCTCGCTTCTTGTTCAGCGGCCCACAGTAGAAGGGTTGGGGCACATGAGACAAGCCGGTTGCCTTCATCCATGAAAGGGTGACAATCATATTCATTCTATACCATATTTGCGAAGAGAATTGTCAATTAGAAGAGCTGTCTTATATGAGTTGGTCGAGGTAAGGGCGGGCAAAGACTTTCTTGATCTTTGAGAGGTATGGTAAGGGGAGTGAAAGACAGCCTTGCCTAGTCACCTTCGGCCCCTCCCATAGATGTTCTAAAACAGAGAGCGAGCGCAAACTCAATAGGTGGCTCTTTTTGTACCCCACCCAGTACACGTAAGACTTCCACTGTCAAGTTTAACGGCAAGGTCCACATAAGGTTGAGAAAGCAGTTGAAGTAGATCAAAAGGGGAAGGTTTTTGTGCCGGTTGCTGCTATTTCAGTAAAAGCTTATCTACGATAATGTTAGGATCCCACATCCTAATCCGAAGACGAATCTTTCACTTATTCCTATTAGATTGACAACACATTTTCTTCTCTCTGAGAAAATGGGTTCTTCCTCACCGCCTCTGCAAGTCAAAAAAAGGGAAAGCTCTCTCCCAACACGCTTTAGCACTATAGTTCATCGGTCGCCGATGGCTAATCTCCTTGCTTTTGAAAATAAAAAGCAAGTCTTTTTGACGGGACCAGGTTCTCACATCGCTTACACATACCCGAATCTGAAGCATCAACAGAAAGAGACGAAAATGCGAATGAAGAAATAGGCTCTCAATTCTCTACTAAAAAGCCCCCTTCTGCCGAATCCCTAGTGACCCCCTTTGTCTGAGCATCCTTATTTAATCGAAGTAATGGAATGGCTATCGACACATAAGAGCATCAATCTGTCGAAGACGAAGCAGAGGTTTTGCTGATAAAACCTCTTTCTATTTCTTTGTTTGGTAGTAAGAGCTTTGTTTGATTTCATCCTTCGCTCTGGACTTCTTTCAAAAATCAGTGTTAGCCACCAGTCACTCACTCTCCTCCTCAAGTTCAAGAGTTGGCTTCCTCCTCAAGTT